GGGGGGGGGAATGGGAATGGCGGGTGGGGTTGGGGAATGGGGGACGGTGGGTGGGGTTGGGGGGGAAGTGAGAGACAAGCTGAACTGTTCCAGCAACTTTTGTTTTTGTTTCTGATTTACAGCATCTGCAGTTCTTTCGGTTTTGGACAGAAATAGCTAATGCCACCCAGCACTGAGCCTCTGTTCTCTGCACATTTTCTACTTATTTCCCCATTCATGTTATTGTTATATTGACATGTAACTATTGCAATAGTTTCCTTCCGCATTGATGTTATGTCTGTAATTTGGCTGAGAGGCTTAAATATAAGATTTCCAAGTTTGTTGATGTCACAAAAGGTGCCAAGCATAGATGGATGGTGAAGTTGAGAGTCTGCAGAGGGATATAGACAGGTTATGTGAGTGAGTGAAAACTTGGCAAATGGAATATAATGTGGGGAAATGAGGCTATCCTCTTTGGAAGAATAGAGAAGCTGAATATTACGTTATGGAGAAAGACGGCAGAAAGCTATAGAACAGAGGGATTTAGGAGGCCTATTGTTTGAATCAGAAAAAGCTAGTATCCAAGTTCAGCAGGTAACAAGTGAAATAGAATGAGATCCTTTATTTCAAATGGAATGGTGTATAAAAATAGAAGGTTTAGCTAAAACAATCCAAACTAGAACTGACATATTGTGATGAGTTGTGGTCCCTTGTCTAAGGAAAGATATATTGGCATTGGAGAAGGTTCCTGTGGTTGATCCTGGATGTGAAGGACCTATCTTGTGGGGAGAGGTTGAGTATGTTGGACAAGTACTTGTTGCAGTTTAGAAGAATGAGAGGCGACCTTCTTGAAATATATAAGATTCTTATAGGACTTGACAAGGAAGATGTGCAGAGACTGTTTCCCCTGCAAGACAGTATAGACCATGGTTGGCATGGTGGCTCATTGTTTAGCACGTCTGCTTCACACCGTCGGGGACCCGGGTTCAATTCCACCCTCGGGCGACTGTCTGTCTGGGGTGTGTACGTTCTCCGTGTCTGCGTGGGTTGCCTCTGGGTGCTCTGGTTTCCTCCCACAGTCCAAAGATGTGCAGGCTATGTTGATTGGCCATGCTAAATTACCCATAGTGTTCAGGGATGTGCAGGCTAGGTGGGTTAGCCATTAGAAATGCAGGGTTACAGGGATAGGGTAGGGGGTTGGGTCTGAGTGGACACTCGTCAGAGGGTTGGTGTGGACTTCCACTCTATAATTCTATAAGACATAGGAGCAGAATGAGGCCATTCAGCCCATCAAGTCTGCTCCACCATTCAATCATGGCTGATATGTTTCTCCTGCCTTCTCCCTGAATCCCTTCATCCCCTTACTAATGAAGAACCTATCAACCTCTATCTTAAATACACTGACCTGGCCTCCATAGCCCTCTGCAGCAATGAGTCCCACAGAAATTTGTCCTCATCTCAGTTCTAAAGGGTTACCCTTCACTTTGAGCCTGTGCCCTGACGTCCTCGTCTTGTCTACTCGTGGAAGCATCATCTCAACATCCAATGTATCCTGGCCTCTCAGTATTTTGTAAGTCTTAATGAATTACCCTGTAATCCTTCTAAACTCCATTGTGTATAGATCCAGAGTCATCAACTGCTCCTCATATCACAAGCCCTTCATCTTCAGGATCATTCTTCTGAACCTCCTCTGGACCCCCTCCAGCACCAGCTTAGATATGGGGCCAAAAACTGCTCACAATATTCCAAATGCAGTATGATCAGAGCCGCATAGAGCTTCAGCAGTACATTTGCACTTGTATTCTAGCCCTCTTGAAGTGAATGCTAACATTATATTTGCCTTCCTAATTGCCAACTGAACCTGCATGTTAACCTTAAGAGAATCCTGAACTTGGGCTTCCAAGTACCTTTCTGCTTCAGATTTTCGAAGCCTTTGCCCATTTAGAAAATATTCTATGCCTCTGTTCTTCCTACCGAAGTGCATAACCTCATAATTTCCCAAATTGTATTCCATCTACCGTTTCTTTGCCCAATCTCCTAGCCTGTCCAAGTTCTGAAGCCTGTCTGCTTCCTCGACCCTACCTGTCCCTCCACTTATCTTTTTGTCATCTGTAAATTCAGCAACAATGCTCTCAGTTTCTTTGTCCAGATTGCTGATGTATACCGTGAATAGTTACTGGCCTCTGTGAAACTCCTCTAGTCACTGGTTGCCATCCTGAAAAAGATCCATTTATCCTCTGTCTTCTGCCAGTCAAGGTCAGAAATCTCACGATGCCAGGTTATAGTCCAACAGGTTTATTCAAAAACACAAGCTTTTGGAGCCTTACACAAATAAACCTGTTGGACTATAACCTGGCATCGTGTGATTTCTGACCTTTTCCATCCCAGTCCAACACTGGCACCTCCACATCATTCTGAAGTCAGCCAATCCTCTATCCATGCCAGTACCTTGTTCCTAACATCATGGACACTTATTTTATTTAGCATTCTCCTATGTGGCACCTTGTCAAAGGCCGACTGGAAACCCAAATAGATCACATCCACTGGCTGTCCTTTGTGTAACTTGCTCTTTATCTCCTCAAAGACTTGCAACAGATTTGTTATGCATGACCTCCCCTTGACAAAGCTGTGCTGACTCAGCCGTATTTCCACAGAACCCCAACAGTGTGGAAACAGGCCCTTCGGCTCAACAAGTCCACACTGACCCTCGGAGCATCCCACCCAGAACCATTCCCCAAACCTTCCTAATTTACACATCTTTGGACGCTATGGGTAATTCCCTAGCCAATCCACCTAACCTGCACATCTTTGGACTGTGGGAGGAAACTGGAGCATCTGGAGGAAACCCACGCAGACACAGGGAGAATGTGCAAACTCCACACAGACAGTTGCCCGAGGCTGGTATCGAACCCGGGCCCCTGGTGCTGAGGCAGCAGTGCTAACCACTTAGCCACCGTGTCACCCCAACCATTTCACCATGCACTTCCAAGTACTCTGTAATCGCATCCTTAATAATAGAACATTACAGCACAGTACAGGCCCTTCGGCCCTCGATGTTATGCCGACCTGTGAAAACAATCTGAAGCCCATCTAACCTACACTATTCCATTATCATCCATATCTTTATCCAATGACCATTTAAATACCCTTAAAGTTGGCGAGTCTACTACTGTTGCAGGCAGGGTATTCCATGCCCTTACTACTCTCTGAGTAAAGAACCTACCTCTGACATCTGTCCTATATCTATCACCCCTCAATTTAAAGCTATGTCCCCGTGCTAGCCATCACCATCCGAGGAAAAAGGCTCTCGCTGTCCACCCTATCTAATCCTCTGATCATCTTGTATGTCTATATTAAGTCACCTCTTAACCTTCTTCTCTCTAACGAAAATAGCCTCAAGTCCCTCAGCCTTTCCTCATAGACCTTCCCTCCATACATCCTGGTAAATCTCTTCTGCACCCTTTCCAATGCTTCCACATCCTTCCTATAATGCGGCGACCAGAACTGTACGCAATACTCCAAGTGCGGCCGCACCAGAGTTTTGTACAGCTGCAACATGACCTCATGGCTCCGAAACTCAATCCCTCTACCAATAAAACCTAACACCACTTTAACAACCCTATCAACCTGGGTAGCAACTTTCAGTGATCTATGCACATGGACACCGAGATCTCTCTGTTCATCCACATTACCAAGAATCTTACCATTAGCCCAGTACTCCATATTCCTGTTACTCCTTCCAAAGTGAATCACCTAATAATAGACTCTAAAACTTTACCAAAGTCAGGCTAATCAGCCTATAATTTCCTGTCTTCTACCTCTCTCTCTTCTTAAACAGGGACATTAATTTAGCCATTGTCCAGTGATTCTTGAAAGATCATTACCTATGGCTCCACTATCTCCTTGAGAACACTGGGCTGTAGTCCCTCTAGTCTGGGTGATTTATCCACCTTCGGATCTTTCAGGCTCCCCAGCACCTTTTCTTAAGTGATGACCAGTACACTTCTGCCTGCTGACTCTTTTGAGGGGTTCTGGTATGCTACTGATGTCTTCCATCATGAAGACTGATGCAAAGTACCTCCACCATTTCTTTGTTCCCTATTACTACTTCTCCAGCCTCCTCTTCCAGCAGCCCAATGTCCATTCTTGCTTCTCTATTGTCTTATAATCTTGAAGAAAATCTCGAGCAGACTTCTTTTAGTTGCTTGTCCTCATATTTCAGCATCGTGCCCCACTTATTTTTTAAGTTGTTCGCTGCTGGTTTTTCAAGGTGTCCCAATCCTCTGGTTTCCTACTGATCCTCACCACATTGTTTTCTTTTTCTTTTGCTTTCCCTGACTTCTCTTGTCAGCCATGGTTGCCTCATATTCCCTTAGTATGTTTCTTCTTCTTTGGGATGAATTTCTGCTGTGCATCTTGAATTATCCCCAGAAGCCCCTGTTATTGCTACTCCACAGTTTTCCCTGCTAGGCTCCCCTTCCAATCAACCCTGGCCAGGTCTTCCGTCCTATCCTTGTGATTACCTTTACTCAACTGTTATACTGTTACATCTGATTGCAGCTTCTCCCTCTCAGACTGCAGGGTGAATTCCATCATATTATGGTCACTGTTCCCTAGGGGTTCCTTCATGTTCAGCTCCCTAATCAAGTCTGTCTCATTACACATCACCAAATCCAGAATTGCCTGTTCCCTAGTTGGCTGTACCACAAGCTGTTCCAAAAGAAATCTTGCAGACATTCCACAAATTTCTTTTCTTGGGATCTGCTACTAGGATTTTCCCAGTCCACTACAGGAAATAATCTCAGAATAAATGATTGCATGTTTAAGGCAGATGAGGTGGAATTTCTTCACTCAAAGGATGGTGAACCACAAAAGGCTATGGGGGCCAGATCACTGTGTTTAAAAGTGAAGTAGATTTCTGGAAGCTAAGGATGTCAAGTAATATGGAGAGAGTGAGAGTAATGCGTTGAGATAGAGGATCAGTTATGATCAGGTTGAATGTGGGAGTGGACTGAATGACCTATTCGCTCATGTTTCTGTTCTGCCCTCTGTAACGTCAAGGTGATCCCAACATAACCTAACCTAACTAACTTGCACCAAATTCCGTTCACCTGTTGTCCCAGTGCTTGCTGACCTACATTGCTTGTGAAGCATCACATGGATTTTAAAATTCCATGTTTGTCTGTGAGGGAGACGATTGCAGAATGGTAATGTCGATGCCCTGTTAGTGCAGGGGCCCAGGCTAATAGGCTCAATTCCTACTGGTGATGGAAGGTCAACTTGATTCATCCGGAATTGAAAGCTGATGTTTGTGATAGTGACCGTGGAATTTTCATCTATTGTCATAAAACCCCATCTGGTTTACGAATGCCCGTTAGGGAAGGAAACCTACCACCTTCTGCTGGTGTGGCCTACATTCAATGTTGTCAGACTCCAGAGCCACAGCAATGTTAACTCTTCACTGCCCTCTGAAATGGCTGAGCAAGACATGTGGTGCATTGATTAAAAAGAGAGAGAGAACAAATGCTGGTTTAACCATGGATGGCCACATCCTCTGAAAGAAGAAAGAGGAAATACTAGCCCCCCCATCCAGTTTCCCTTTTTTTAAACTTGTTGAGCCATGCACACTTTTCTTTTCCCTATTCATTCATAGGGTGAGGGCGTTGCTTGCTATGCTAGCATTCATTGCTTATCCCAGAGGGTTCTTGTGGTCTGGAGTAATGGGTAGTCCACACCAGGTAAGGATTGCAGTTTCCTTCCCTAAAGGACATTAGTGACATAGGTTTTCCCAACAATCGACAACAGATTCTTGGTCATTGTTAGACTCTTAATTCCAGATTTTTAGTGAATTCAAATCCCATTGTCTGCCCTAGCAAGATTTGAACCCATGTCCCCAGAACATTACCAGGGTCCCTGGATTAACAGTCCAGCGATAATACCACTAGGCCATTGCCTCCCCATACGTACCTCTGGTTCTGGTCTCTTGCACATAACTAATTTTAATCTTTCTTTCTTTCTTTGGCAACTGTGCTTTCAGTTGCCAAAGTCCCAGATGCTGCCTTTAAAATTTTTCACCTACCAACCTCTTTTTAAGAGGCTCCCAAAAAGCTCGCTCCTTCTCCTGACCATCTGCACTGATTGCATCTCAGAGTCACAGAGCTATACAGTCGTGGCTTGGCATCTCCGTTGTTAGTATTGGGATATTGTGCTACAGTGAAGATGCAGTAGTAATCATGTTGGTGTTGGTTTATCTGTTGTGACACTCCATCATTAAGCATGGTTTGTAAAGGCCAGCTAGGTGTGGCGCATGTTTTGCAGACTATTTGACAGCAATGCTGGTTCATTCTAGCGGCATTAATTCTGAAGTCACTTCCTTAGTGTTTGTTCACCTTTTACAGAGTGCAACAGGAGGAACTGATAACAGAAAATGGGTTTGTGACCAGCAGCTCTCCAGATTGGCTGGCTGTGAAACCAAAGAAGAGACGCCGGCAGCAGTCCCAGGAGAAACAGGAGACACAGAGTGAAAATGATCAAAGAAAGAAAAAAAGAAAGGAGGCTGGACTGAAAGCAGAGCGGAGGCATAATTCTGCAGAAGAAACTGAGCTGATTGGAAATGTGAAGAGTGCAAAAAAGCGAAAAAAAGTGATAGAAGATGACGGACAATATAATATTCAAAAGAAACATTGCAAAAAGAAGAAAGATAAATTCAGCAAAGATCAAACCAGGCGAGATTATTCCAGAAAAAGAGCCAGTTCTGGATGTTTGGGGAAAGCTCTCTCAGAGCCTACTCCTCCAACACACTCTAAACAAAGAGAGGGAAAGAATGTTTCAGATGATACTCCACCTCAGGGGAAGGTGGCAGTAGAGGCAGTGGACAGTGAGTATTCATCCAGCAGCATCAATGAGAGTGACCATCCACAGCCAAAGAATACTCAGCTGGCAACGGATGGCACCATCACCAAGACTGAGGGCAAGGGCATCTCAACAAGGAAACATCCCAACTCTCGACGTGGGAAGAGACCTGCCCAGACTGACGTTACCCCTAAAATGGCAGGAGTAAAGACAGACAGCAGCTCTGACTCTCTGAGCAGTGACTCCGAAACACCCGTGGTTAAGAGAGCATTCACTCTGAATCGTGAAGCTCTGCCTCCAGTGGAAAGGATATCTGGCCCTTTTGAAAATGGTGAGTCATCTGCACCTTGTTCAGACACTCAAGATTCCGAATCTGGGAAAACCAAGAGCAGAGCTGGAGGTGCAGGTGCTGCAGTTCCAGGCAAAACTCTCTCAGAGGGATATCAGCCAACACCTGCCACCCTGCAACCTAGTCCAACAGGGAATTGTAACTTTGGACAGGGCAACGGAAGGGGACGAGGACGAGGGTTTAATGGCTTCCCATGGAGAGGAGGGCGTCAGCAACGTGGTGCGTTCCAGGGCAGGGGCAGAGGAACTGGCTCCTTCCGCTATAACTATGAAAATAGCGAGGAACCAAAACCTGGAGAATCAAGTCAAACATTAACTAATAAACAACCTATTGTTGAGGTGAGTAAATTGAAGGGCAAGTATGCACTAATTTCACATAACTCTCCAAAGGAGAAACTTGATAGAACAAGGCTGGTAGATTCTGTCCAAGACTGGTTACAGCATGCTAAAGTATCTGGTCCATTAGGTAGAGCGCTAGCACAGACAAGGTCAACTGAGTTCCACCCCTGGTTCTTGTCCCTCCATCAATGGGAACATCTCCTGTCTGCTCTGTCCAGACCTCTCCATAAGTTTAAATTCCTCCATCACTTACAAATGTGTAAGCTAGAAGCAGAAATAAGCCATTTGACCCTTTGAATCTGCTCCAATATTAAATAAAATCACAGCTGATCTGTTTATGATTCAAATTCCACATTGCCATCCACTGTAATGACCTTCCGCTTTCCCTGCTATTGTAGAATCTATTGACCAGAACGTTTAAAAAATGTTCAATTGTCCCACTTCCACGATTTACTGAGGCGGAGAATTCCAAAATTATACAACTCTCTGAAATTTCTCTTTGAGGAGAAAAGGGCCAACTTCTCCAATCTCTCCACAAAACTGAAGCCCTTCACCTCAGAGCCACTGTTGGGAATCCCGTCAGTGCTCTAACACTGTCTCAATCTCCTGAAATGTGTTGCCCAGGCTGAGCACAATTCTCCAGCTGAGGCTGAGCCAGTGTTTTATACAAGTTTAGCATTACACCCTGTACGCTTTATTCTTGCTTATTTGCCGTCTAACATTTTAATTACTTAATATCCCTTACCCAACTCTCCTTTCTAACTATGTAATTAACCTGGAGTTGAAGACTGTAGTTTTGTACTTGGCCACGCCACACTAAGTTACTGATAAATAAACCATTTTGTGATTGCTCTGAGATGACTTGCTAGCCTTCTTGAATTTCTCCAAGACAAGATTTAAAAAACAAAAAAAAAAAGGTCTGGTTGGTTTCACAACATATTGTCTAAGAAGCAGTCCAAAACACGCTCCATGAACTGGTCCTGTATGCTGTGAACTCTTTTTGCTTTCCTGCAAGATTGAGTCCCATGTTGAACAGGAGCACAGGATGGAGGTTTGATGAATGTTGTCACATCTCGAGGACTTATTGCCTGGATGGTGCTAAAGGCCAGGTCCATATTGCAAGGTCACAGTGACAGCTGGTGACATTACAGTTGGACCTCATACCATTGCACTGTCACTGGGTCACAGGAGCATTGTGACAGTGTCCATTGTTTGTGTTAACAAGCTGCTGCTACATTTCCAGGAATTGAATAGAATTTGACCCTGTCCTTGGCGTGTACCTGGGGCAGAGGGTCCGTCCTATCTCTCCAGTAAACAGGCCTGGGTGTGTGAGAGAGAGAGATGGCTGTGTGGTTACAGTATGATGTAGGAGTGTTGCAGCCACAAAGGTGGTGTGGGACAAGTACTGCTCATGCCTCCCTGTATCCCAGTTGCTGTTTATAATTGTTTCTCTCTTTGAACAGAGTTCCCCTGGGGCTCCCAAGAGAGACTACAGCAAACTTCCACTCCTTGCTGCACCACCTCAAGTGGGAGAAAGAATTGCTTTTAAGGTAACCTCTGTACACAGATTCTGGGCGCTTTGTACATTTGTTTAAGCATAACTCTGACCTTGATTGGAATAGAGACTGCACTGTTTAGCTGCAACAAAAACTTTATGGTATTTTGTTGCAGCAAGAAATTTTGCTGTCCTTGAGAATGTGCAGAGGCAGGCATGGAACACATTTCCAGACATTACAAACTTCAACTAGTCGGATAAAATCTCTACGTTCTGTCTGTTTTCTTTTGGAAAGTGCTGACTTTGAGTTAATATGTGAACATTTTAAGATGATGAAGAAAGTTGAGAAGAAAAGTAGGTAAAAACAGGTTTTGAATCCTAAAGGAGTGAAGGTGAAAATGAGCATCAGAAGCTGTTGGTTGGAATCGGGACAAGTACTTTAAGCTGAGTGGGATTAGCTCCCAAGGAAAGTTCCCGTTGAACCAGGATGTGTAACTGGGGTCAGTGGGCAGTTAGTGTTTGTATGAAGGTGGTGGGCAGTGTTGTGGGGATCCACTGACTGGAAGAGTCACTTTTTCTGAGATCAGTCTGTTTGTTGTGAAACTCCACAACCTCACGTAATTGTATCTGTTTTCCTCCTTAGATGTTGGAACTTTCTGAGAATTACACACCAGAGCTGTCAGATTACAAGGTATTGAAAGTAATGAATGTTCATTCAACAGAAACGTGGTGGACTGGGAGTGGGGTTTTGGGGAGGTGGGGGTGGCTGTTGGGGCAGAAGGGTAGAGGGTGGCAGAGGAGAGCGGGATGGGGCAGCACTGAAGTGTCAGTGTGGGAGGGTGGGTAAGGGAGAGCTGTACAGGGCAGTGAGTTAGGGGAGGGGTACTGATAGAAAAGATGAGTGAGGAGAGAATCATTGATGCCTTGGGGAAATGCACTTGACAGTGAAGAGGGAAATGGGTAGTGGGAGACATTGGTCAGCTGGAGCAGGCAACAAGGGGCTAGTCGGTGGTAGAGGGATGGGCTCTTGGTCTGGATTGGGGGGTGGTGGGGTGCAGGGTACAGGGATTGAGGGTTTTTGGGAGACAGGACAGTTTGGGGGTAGGGCGGTGCGGGGAAACTGAGGATGGATTGGGAGTGGCGGGTGGGGGGCTGGGGGTGAGGGAGGGTTCAGTAAAAATAGGCAAGTTTACAGGTTGCAGAAACAAGGAGAGGGTGTGCTGGGAAGTGGTTGAATGACTTGTGAAACCTTTACTTAAAGGAAGGAAGAATTGTGAGTTACAATGCCAATACCCAAGAAGTGGAGCTGTGTGTGGATTCCATATCGACAGGTGAGGCTTTGTGCAGGAGTAGTACTGAAACAAAAAGGATAGTGTTTATGTGAAAAAAAAAAAAAAATTCCCAATATCTCAACTGCCTGAGCAGAAAAGCTGCTGTGAATTGTGCAGTATTTTAATAATTAAACAGATATTTACTGGGCTCCTGGGTGGCTCTGAGTTTATTCTGTGAGATACTGAGCAAGAGGCTGGCAAGGTCTGAGCTCCCATTCCATCTACAGACAGCCAGGCCAGTGGTAACAGCGTCAGGGAGACCTAGGGGAACCACTCTCTGTCACTGCCTCTGTAAGGAGCTCCAGGTGTGAATGTCTGCAGCTCCCTCTCCAGGTGAGTGGTTAATCAGTTGATTTTGCTGTGCTCACAATCCTTGGAATCTGTAACGGAGGAAAGGGGGCTATTGTATCTTTGTTATTCAGCTATCTTCCTTGTTGATATAAATACTGGTTTTCATTTCATAGCAGCATATTTATTAAAGTTGATTGAAAGCTTGAGTCGAGGGCGGTGACTATTCCACATTCTTATCAATACATTGGCTGCAACAACTTGGATTCTTTGGCTTGTGTCTGAGGATTACTACATACTGTACCGTTTTGTTCCAGAGCGTTCTAAAGAGCCAGGGAAGTTTGACCTTATTTATCCAACAAAGAGTGGTGACAATATGGTGGAGTACGCAGTGACAAGACGGCCCCAGGTATGTGCAGTGGGAACTAACCATCACTGAGTGAGACTAAGCGCTGGCTGACCCCCATACTCTGTTTCTTTTCGTTGTGATGATGACACAATGTCCTGTGCTCTGTCCCACCACAGCAGATCCTAAACTGCTTATCTACCTTTGTCACTGTAACAAACTCCACTGCCAGTTTGCACACAGCAAGATCCCACAATGAATAATCAGATAATGAGCTTTGGTCAAATTGATTGAAAATTAAATATTGCACAGAACATGGGAAAACTCTTCTTTAAAATGGTGACGCCAGATTTTTCTTACACCCACCTGAGTGGAGGCAAGGTTTCTAGGGGTGTGATGCGTGTTGCTGCAGGGTGGAGAGGGGAAGGGACGTGTTAGGAGGTTTTTGTCTGTGTCTTGTTGACTATCAGTGTGTGTGCGAGAGAAAGACGCACACCCCGCTTTTTACGACGACCTCTCAGGTCCAAGACTGCACTTGTAAGGCATTGATTATCAGCTGTGAGCTTGCCCTGCCGTGCTGTCAGATTGAGCAGTGTAATAAAATGTGAGCTGGTGTGGAGGATGCCGTACTGTGGCAGGAGCTCATTGACATTACGGTGTCTGATCTGCACGTGACGTCCAATTCCTCAGGGCAACTGTAATGAATGATGAATGCAGCTACCTGTCTCATTCCTGTGTGTGAATGGCTCACTTCTGTACCTTGTTTGCACTGTAGATAATTCCATTCTATTAACTGAGCTGTTTCTCACTCTATTCCATCAGGTAACTGAAAGTTGGAGTGCTCTGATTGAACCTCGTCTGATTGTGACACCTAGTGCTGAGCCAGTAGATGTGGAGTTGGCCTAACTAACCTACCCCACCCATCTTTGCCCTCACTGCTTGTCGTGCAGGGATTCTTCTGCTAACTTCGCTCCATCCTTACATGATGCTGCCTCTCTACCACACTGTAGCGTCCTGACTGCAGGAACAGTTGTGGTTGTATATTTTCCGAGATTGCAGTTTTGCTGAGAATGGTCTTTTGTGAATTGTTTAATAAATGTGTTTTTTCTAAGATTTCCGTTTCTTATTGTAATATTTCTTATGTTATTCTGTTTCCTTTAAACAGTATAAATTGGTGAAGGATGGTCTGAGAATGACCTCCTGTCTGTATTGTTCATTGGGTCTTACCTGAGTAATGTATACCAGGCCACAATGCCCTTTCCAATGGCTGGAACCATCTTTATCCCAACTAATAGGAGGGATAGACCATAATGTCAAGCACAACTTGTACTATGAGGTGGTGGGCTGTGTGTGGTCACCCCTGCCCTGTTTACCAGTCTTCAGGATTCTGCTGGATGCTACCTGGAATTACAATGGAGTGTTCTTGGCTTCCATTCACCAGGATGTTTAGAGCAGGATCGATATCCAGGGTCTGCTATCAATCAGTTTTCTTTCTGATCTGTTCACTCAATATTAACTGCATTCCCTGCCGTTGTCACTGTCCAATCTCTCCACAGGTAGGAGACTAAATCAGCATGTTAGGGGAGGGAATGGCCTAATGGTATTATCACTAGGCTATTTATCCAGAAAGTCAGCTAATGTGCTAGGCACCTGGATTTGGATCTTGTCATGACAGATGTAGAATTTGAATTCAATGAAGAAAATCTGGAATGAAGAATAACTATTACTGGTTGTTGGAAAGACCCATCTGGCTCACTAATGTGAGAAATCTGTCATCCTCACCTGGTTTGGCCTGCACGTGACGTGAGAACCACAGCGATGTGATTGACTTTTCCCTGCCTTCAGAAATGGCATGCCAAGCCACATAGTTGTATCGATTGCCATGAAGTTTCAAGCAAGAAATGAAACTGGATGGACCACCTGGCATCGGCCTAGGCCCTCCCTAAGGGTGTTGTGGGTCTACCTTCCAGGGACTGCAGTGGTTCAAGTACCAGAATGCGATTCCTGAGCTGTCGGAGTACCATCAAACTGAGTCAACTTAATCCCAGCAAGTGAAGGGACTGTGTGGTTAATGCTACCCAAGTGATGACAGCCAGGCACTGTCACTACTCAGCTGTGTTGTGGAGGTGCTGGTGTTGGACTGGGGTGGGCAAAGTCAGTAGCCACACGACCCCAGGTTATAGTCCAACAGGTTTATTTGAAATCACAAGCTTTCGGAGCCTCACCTGAAGAAGGCCTGAGGCTCAAAAAGCTTGTGTTTTCAAATAAACCTGTTGGATTATAACCTGGTGTTGTGTGATTTCTGACTACTCAGCTGTATAGCCAGAACATGTATCTGTAAGAAACAAACACGACTGGCATCCTGAGGGAAACTCAGGAACAGCCTGAGGTAGCAAACTGACTGTATCTCTGCTTTAAAAAAAAAACATAGGGTCCTTTGGTAAAGAGATAACAAGGTGTAAAGCTGGCTGGACACAGCAGGCCAAGCAGCATCAGAGGAGCAGGAAGGCTGACGTTTCGGGCCTAGACCCTTCTTCAGAAAATTGGTGGAGTGTGGCAGGAGACTGCTGAGGAGCTGGGTCAGAATGAGGTGACAAGGAGAGACAGCTAGCTTCAATCTACCTGTGTGTCAATAAACCAATAACCTTCACACCCCAAAAAAGCCCCATTACATTCTGGATGAAAACACAACCACATCGGAGCTCTGAGACAAGGTGCAGAGCTGGATGAACACAGCAGGCCAAGCAG